GAGAAGAATAATAAGCTAGACCTACTGTCTATGATTATATGCAGTATTAGTAAGTTAGTATTTTTTTCTTCGCATACACAAATCACTTGTTTGGTGTTATTTTGTTAGTAACCAAAATAGAATGCACACTTCTTTTTATTTCAAAAATTCTATTGTGTAACCCGGATACTACAATGAGTGTAGATAGTCGTAAAAAAATACACGATTGTAAGTGATATATCTCTTTGCCATTTTCACTCTTATTCCTACTAAAAATATCCTCCTAAACTAATTATTAGTTGTGGAACTTGATTAATATTAATATTTTGATAAACCGTCACATACATACATACACACATACATACATATAGGAGCGTCTAAAATGACACCAGTTACCTATACACCAGTTGCTTACACCAATTTGTTTGGGTACCTACAGTGCCCCGTGTGTAAAAATGACAGTTCCTACCCCCTAACCCTCCCTCTAAACCCCCCGGCCAAGCCCATCCTTGCCCCCCCAATGTTATATCCGGGCTAGGCCCTATCGTACCCTCCCCCATGTCCCACACCCAAGGCTGAGCCCACACTCCTCATACCTTCCCTAAACATCCAAAATATTTCCTTTTCAAAATAAAGTTTTTCCTACTCTTATTTTAGCCATGGCTGAAAATAAGAGTGTATAAACCAAAACCTTTTTGTTTGTTGTTATTTTCCTTCATTTAAGCCTTTCCAATAAACAAATAAAACCCTCTCTCCTTCTCTTTTATTTCCTGGCCAATTAAATCTCACAATCCCAACATAAACACCAACAAAGGGCCAAAATCCTGACCCACCACTAGCCACTCATTCCTGCCCATGTTTCCCTCACAATAACCCAAACCCATATGTCCAAAACCACCCATAATATTGCCCAGCCCTGTCCCCCTTTATTGGCCAAACACAACCCCTCATTTGTACCCAAATAATAGCCTTAAAACCCAGGAAACAACCACTACAAAGCAAAGCTCAAACCCCCCACAAACCCCAGCCCCATCTCTGATTTCAGTCCACTAGGGAGACAGGAATGAAGAAAGATTACCCCATGCTTTGGAGAAGGATGTTGCTAGGAAGTTTCCTAATGTCTACATTCAATGTATTGTGTGTTTCTTCCTTCTTTCCCCTGCCTATATAACTCAGGCCTTATGGCCATTGTAACAACAACCTTTTGAATATTAAAATCATTTACTCTTTGAGTATTATTAAAATAGTGTGATGCTATTTTAGCCAAATTCCTAATTCTATATCTTAAGAGTGGTTATAAGTGTGAGTTTTAGGTTCTAGATATTTGATTAAGTGTGTCATATCTTAATTAAATTCTACATTCAAACCCCAAGTTAGGATAAGAGTGTGTAATATCTCTTAAACACCAACTTGGTTTATCCATCCCTGATTTTCTTCCATTTCATACCTCCCCATTTCTCCTCTTAATCTTACTCTTTTCTTCCATTAAAAATACCCAAAAGAACTCCTTCATCAGCCCCATATTTTTGCAGCCCATTCCCCACAAAAACACCCTTCTTCCTGTCCAGAATCACTGCCAAATAATCGATTATCATTCCCCACAATCGATTATCAGTTCCATTGGAAACATCTGCAGGTAGTAATAATCGATTATCCCTTTAAGATAATCGACTATCACTCATTCCCAGAAAATCTGTAGCCTTCAATAATCGATTGTCACTTTGTGTAAATCAATTGTTTACTTCTCCTAAACGTCTGAAGCTCCTCCTGAGAAACTGAATCACTTACCAATCGATTATCCTACTTGGACAATCGATTATCCACCCTTTCGGCAAAACAAGGAGCGTGTTCCTTATTTCCGAGCTTAAAACCGACAAACCCGGAGCGTAGATATAACACCCAACCCAGCCCCCCTCCCTACCCTATACTGCGAGGCAGTATAATGCGAGGGTATGGAGGAGGGCTGGGGGTGGGGGCAAGGGTGAGGCTCGGGTGGGGGGTTAGAGAGGTTGGAACCGTAAGTTTTACAAATGAGGCACCTTAGGTACCCAAACGAACTAGTGTAAGCAACTGACACCAGTAGCACTAGTGTCATTTTAGACTTACTGTGTGTGTGTGTGTGTGTGTATATATATATATATATATATATATATATATATATATATATATATATATATATATATATGACACCAGTTGTTTACACCAGTTGGTTTGGGTACCTAAGGTGCTGTTCCTACCCCTCCTTATCCTCCCCCTAAACCCCCCACCCCAGCCCCACCGTTGCCCCCCACCGGCCCCCCTCCCTACCCTGGCATATATATAGTTTCATTTCTGTTTGGAACACTAAAAATATGCAAAAGGAATAAAGCAAAATTGGAGAGGTCTTACCTTCCA